GAACAAGGATTTACACCGACCATGTGTTGACTACCCGAATTTTCCACACTGTGAAAAGCACCTCTTCCGTGTAGGACATGACATTTCAGCAAACATATCTGAGGCCGTTTGTCGATTGTCAGTGTATCTAATTTGCATTGGTTATACAACGAAAGTTCTATGAGAACAAAATAGGAATGTGTGCAAAGGGAAGGGAAGGATGCTGGCAATGCCTGAAAAGTCTCCCTTTACCTCCCGGGGTCACTGCTGATGCATCTAGATGACTGACCAGAAAAGAAAATGTCACACGCAATGCGGGTTTTAATTCTAGAATTGGTCCTTCCTTTCCAGACCTGAATTTAGACCTATCTCTGCCCCGACCTCTCCCCTGGATGTCCACCTGCCCTGTCCCCTCCCCACTCTCAGGGGCTTTCTGGGCCATAAGAGTGCTTTCCTTTGTTCTTTCTTCTCAAGTGTTTGTCCAGCTTTATCCACCCCGGCACACAGCATGGTTAAGGCATCAGAACTATCAGAGTTAGCAGATTTTTTTCCCCCTGTGACAATTATTAATGGTTCGTTCACACACAGTTGATCCAGCAGCCACATTGATCCAAGCAGCCACATAGCCCCAGTCCCATTATCGGTCAAGATCTCAAACTCATACCCAGTCATGTGTCATCCTGATTGCCTGTGTTACAAAGGCAGTCTTGTTTTCTCCTAATGCGGCAAATATACTATGGGCACAGAGCTACAAGAGGCTGGCTAAAAGCTTATCCATTTATTGACCGAAGAAGGCAGGCCGTTCCAGGGCCATTTCTCATGTACCCCAGCAAATAGAAGTGTGATTGCATTTCTGTACACGGAAAGTGCATTTCTAGTGTCAAATTAGAGAACTCTAGAAATATCATTATCCAGTCCATTTTAGGGATAATGCTTGCTTTCCCATACCCTGGCTTTACATTTACTTCTTCAAAGACTACAAGGCATTTTGCCGACATTCGTGTTCTACAAAAAAGGAAGGCAGGATGATAAAGTCCTTTGTGGTGGTGGGGATTTAAAAAAAAAAGCAAATCAGGAAAACATTGGAAATGTGACTGAGTGATTGGGTTCATAAGTCTGGTCTTTGTCAGTGATGGGTTGTGGCCTGGATTCACCAGTCACGTAAAATCTTTCACCCCAAGTTACTTTTCATCAATATTTTCATGACAGCAACAAAGCAGTGTGGTGATGTAGTATTTATGATTCATTAAAACTTGCCTCAGGATTCAGAAAGCCAAGTCAGCCTCAAGCTATAGAGATCAGGCAGTGGTGATACACACCTTTAATCCCAGCAGCCAGAAGGTAGGAAGAAGTGGCATACATCTTTAATCCTAGGACTCAGGATTAAGAGGTAAATGAATCCCTATGAGTCCAAGGCCACCCAGATCTACACAAGATTGATCCAGTCCTATAGAGAAACAGCTCACACAAAGATGACCTCAGCACTTGAGATCACGCACCTTTAATCCCAGCACCAGAGGGGCATCAAAGATAGGAGTCAGTATCAGGCATTCATTCTCCAACCACATTGAGGACAGGAAGCCACTGAAATCTCAGAATTCTTCAGCCACACTGAGGAGAGGTTACAGTCTGAGGTTTGGTGGAGCCATGACCACCTTCCAGTCTGAGGTAGAGGAAGAGCTAGTAACCAGTGCTTTGCTTTTCTGATTTTCAGCTTGAAGTTTAAATCTGAGTATCTGTCTCTGGGTCTTTTATTATGGCGTTACAGGCTGCAAGTTCAAGAGTGCTGTCAATCAGTTCAATAATTCTGCATTTTCACTTAACTCACAAACTCACCTGCCCCAATCATACATTTCTTTAATTCTCTATGCATTTCTTGAAATATGCAAATTTAAAACAGAATAAATCTTTTTAAAAATATTAGAAGGGCTAGAAAGATGGCTCAGTGGTTAAGATTGCTTACTGCTCTTACAGAAGAACCGAGATCAGTTCCCAGCAGCCACTGGGCAGCTCACAACTCCTGTAACTCCAGCTCCATGGGTAGCTGATGTATCTGACCTCCCGAGGCAACTGCCCTCACATCCACACTCCCACATTGACACACACAGATACACATAATTAAAAATAATAAAAATCAATCCTTAAAGTGTGTAAGAATTTACAGCTAGAAAAGTCTCACAAATTACGAGCTCATAGCTTCAGCTTGGAAAGACGGCTGTAGTGTGGCACCCTTGAAGCCAATGGGATAGTTTCACCCTAACCCTGCCTGGTGCACAGTGGGGCACGCTCTTTGTTTTCATGAATACTCACAGTGGGTCATAAGTTATGCACATGACACATGTGGCCCTTTGTTATAGAAACAGATGCTCCTCATTAGTCTTACTAATGGGATTAAGATAAATCATCCTTGTGTTCAGTGAGGATTGAATTAAAGGGACTGGGCTTCATTTCATGCAAGACGAATCACTTCTAAGGTAACTTAGTATGGCATTTTTTATATTCATAATTAGGACCAGGCAATAGCTGATTCTCTGACTCTGGCCACTCCCTCTGGCTTCAGAACAGACCAAACATTTTTCTTACTGTGGTTTATACCTGTTTTAGGTCTCCTGTGCTGGCTATATTATTGTCATATTTGTCCTGCCTCCTATTCAAGATCTGTCTGGGGGATAGAAGACCTGGTCATCCATGACACATAGTAGGTATTGAGGTTCCTGTTCCCAGATAGCTCTAGCTTCTGTCAAGTTGACAAAAAACTAACCAACATCTCTGAGATGTTTTGGCAACAAACTTCCTCTCTAAGTGCTACCTAGGTTAAAATCAGTTCCCATCCCTTGAGCTCACATCATCATAAAGCAGGAAGAGGCAATTCAAAGCCTACTCAGTTTCAGAGAAGTCCACTATATTCACTACTATACATGTATTACACAAGTCCTCCAGCAATCCATACAATGTATCTAACCAGAATTTGTGTAGTCACTGAGTGAGATTTGCTGGGGATTACTGATTCTATGAGCTTAGCAGACACTGGTGGGCAGCTAGCATCCTGGCCACCAGGGATATGTGGGTAGACCTCAGGGATATCTCATTACTGGCTCTTGTCATTGACTGTGACTATGCTTTCCTTCATTGCAAAAGTACCGGAGACAATCAAGTTATAGGGAGCAAAGCTTTACTTTGGCTCTTAGTTCTAGAAGTTTCAATTGGTCAGCTCTTGTTCTGGCAAGGCAGCACTTCATGGTGGGAGTGTGGAGGCACTTGCCTCATAGCCAGGAAGCATAGAAGAGAAAGAAGATGGTCCCTTTACTCCATTCAAGGACTTGTCCCCAGTAACCTGACGGCTTCTCCCTGGATCCTATTCTTCAATATCCTGCCACTTCACTAGGCTGGGGAACAAGTCTCTAAGACACATGCTTTGGGAGACATTTAAAGTACAACTCATGGCAGTTGTGGGAAGAGGTTCTGCCCAGGCTGGTGGATAGCCAGTGTGTCCGGGACATTTTTTAACTTAGAAGTCGGGTGGATACCTCAGCAGGGACGGTTAGCCACCAAAGCAAGCAACACACAGCTAATGAAAGCCAAAGCCAGACGGTGACTTTAGGAGCCAGAAATGAAAGCGATCTATCGTTCCAAAACAAATAAATAATACATAAATACGGAATGTTTTGAAGTTATGCTTCATTCTTAGGCCAGGATCAAACCTCGTATCAAAATCTATCTGTTCAAGAATCGGAAGCTCCATTCTTTAAATGTTTGAAAAGTTACAAGTAAAGAAAAGGACTGGACCGCAGCTCTTTCACATTCTACACTGGGTAACACAGGCTCATTGTAAACTATTATCTGGTTGTTTTATAGTGCAACCTTTACTTTCTGGGTGTACTTCAGGGAAACTGAAAGGAGGTTAAAGTCACTCTCCACATCTGATAGAATTTGTGGCCCGAGATCAGGCTCTTGTGTAAACTTGAGACAATGTTTGCATGGACTTTGGAACGCCTACCTGCAGTTACTTCTGGGGGCGGGGCAGAGGGAGTAGCTATTGGATGCATCCTCTCACTGAAGAAACACCACTCAGAACATTTAAATGATGTGAAGGCGGTTCCTTTCTCACCTGAGCTCCGGCTCCAGAGGTGGAGTAGGGAAGGAAGTAGGCACCTCAATGGAAGGGCAAACACTGCTGGGGTACCCAGGGAAGGTGCTCTATGCATTTGTGATGCTGAGGCTGAACTCAGTTTGTAGGTTGTGTTTTTCCACTGTAAGCATCCTCTGTGCCTCATCGCTGCTCCAGGGAGACACAGGACATGGTGGGCAGAAGAGAGTCATTGTAAGGACAGTCAGAGGGCTGGGGGACATGGGAAGGAGAGCCACCCAATCAGAGAGAGCTGACCTTTCCTGTGTGGGAGTGTCTTGGGTCCTTAACCAGGGGGACAAAGTGCACAGTAGACTCTGCTGGGGTCCTGCTAGAGGTAAGGCCTCAAGAGGATGATGGTAGGGTGCTCCTCCCGAGGACAGCCTCAGGTCCTTAGTGCCTAGATTGAGGGAGGAGCATGTGGCAGGTGTAGAGTCTCCAGACTTCCCCACTGTAGGCCTCCTAGAGCACTGTGGACAGAGTACTCAAGTTCTTGCAACATTGGCATTTTGAAGCCACACACCAACTCATTGTCTTAGGAAGCAGAGTCTTTGGGAAGCAATCCTGCATAGAAAGAACATTCAGTGAATGGTGATCGGGTTATGACCTTGAGAGCTGGGATGTGAATTTGTGCTTCCTATGGGAGTCAACTGTAGGACCTTAGCTACTAGAACATTTCAGAGTGTTTTAGTACCACACTATTACTTTTTAATAATTGGGACTTTAAGGAGAACTAGATTTCTCATGGTACATAGCAGGAAGGGAAAATCTACAGAATCACAGTATGATTTTGGAGAAAGAAATAACTCCTCCTCCCCCACCCCTTTTTCCTTTCCCCTTTGCCTTCTCTGCCTCCTCTCTGTGTTTGTGTATGCCTGGTGAGGGTGGAGGTGCTTGCACCTGTGGAGGCCAAGGGCGATGCTAGCTTACTTCCTCATTCACTCTCCACCTTATTTGCTGATTTGAGTCAGGCTTGGTCTCTGGGCCTGGAGCCTGCCAATTTGGCTGAGCTGGCTGGCAGACAGGGAAGCCCCAGAGTGCCATCTGTCTCTGCCACCCCACTGCTGAGATCATAGGCCTGGGTCTCCACAACTGGTGCTTTGTGAGTGATGGGAATCCAGGCTCGGGCAAACACTGTGGTGATTTCTTATTTATGATTTACTAAAGATTTCCTGAAGGATCAGACTGCAAAGCCAGCCACACTAGTTAGCCACACTAGTTAGCTATAGATACTGGGCAGTGGTGGTACACACCTTTAATCCCAGCACTTGGGAGAGAGAGGCAGATGGATCTCTGGGAGTTCAAGACCACCGGGGCTGCATTAGAGCGAATCAGTCTAAAAGAGAAACAGCTGATGCCTTTAATCTCAGAACTAGAGAGACTATAAGGAGCTCAGTGCAATCTCAGAGGGCAGTCTAGGATTCTGAGGTTTTGTGGAGAGCAGTACAGTCTGGAAATGCAATCTGAGGTTCAGTGAATCACCCCTTCAGTCTGAGCATTGTAAGAACTCTCTAGTGGTTGGCTGCTTTGCTTTCCTGATCTTCAACTTAAACCCCAGCATCTGTTCTGGGTTTATATTATTCATGTTACAAAGCACTTCACTGACTAAGCTCCCCCCCCCATTCTCCTTTTCTTGCCTTGAAAGAAAAGGCAACGTTTGACAAGGAGCTTCTGCTTTCAGGGCACAGGGACACCGAGGCCCTGAAGGACTTCCTACAGCCCCAGCATATGAAGGACTTCCTACAGCCCCAGCATATGAAGGACTTCCTACAGCCCCAGTATATGAAGATACTGAACTAGGAACCATGTCACCCTGGAAAGTGAGTAATTCCTGGAAGTGTGGTGCCTGTCATTGCCCTGTCATGAACAGTCTTGAGGAAATTCATCATAACTACCACAACAGCAGAATCTGATGTTACTAGTTGTTGGTGTGGATACCTTTTTCCTTTAAACCATCATTTCCCCGCTCATTTTCAACTTCAAATTTGAAAAGAGCTGCAAACATTCTATACTTCTTGAATTTTGGAGCTGGAAGGGTCTAAAGAAAAGTGTTTTAAGCTTTTCAACTATGACACATGGGAAGAAAAACATCTACATATGACCCCTCCACATGCCAAGATCCAACCCTAATTTCTATATATTCTCTGGTTTGTTGTTTATCCTTTTTTTTAAAAATGCATTTTTATTTATTTTGTGTGTTTTGAAGGTAGAGAGCACATATCCCAGAGAGTGCCTATGGAGGTCACAGAACAACTTGTAGATTCAAGTTGTCTTTTTTCAGGTGGTCCCAGGGGTCAAACTCAGGTCACCAGGCTTGATGTCAGGCACTTTTACTTGCTGACCAATCTCACAGGCCCTTGTTTGTTGCTTATTCTAATTCATAATTTAGTGTTTGCTTTGACCCATTGAGTTGGGTCCAAGTTAAAAAAAATGTTATCCAAATTACAATTCAAATAACTATTCTAGGTCACACAGGACACAGTTATAGTGAAACATGTGAGGAAATCAAGGCCCAAAACTTGGGTCATTGACTTTTATGGCAATTATTGGATTCAGTGACAAACCATTAGATAAGCATCTTTGGAACAGACAGCATTTGATCAAACTAAACTGACCAATTAGTAGTTTGTAGTTATTCAAACCATTGCTAGTAGTGGTCATCCCTTCTCCAACTCACGTTGTCACAAGATAAAGCCAGGGTAACCTTCATTCTCCATATTCATTTATTCATTCATCCATCCATCCACCCATTTATTCATTCACTCACTCTCCCTCCATCTGCTATATAGACCTAATGTTGAAGAGGAATGAGGTTGGACATACAAAGTTACATGAGTTTAATATCTATACTAAAGGAAATCCCAGTCCAGTAGTTTGTGATGTAAGAAATACTGACACAGATTTAGCATGGACTTTTAGGGTGCCACAAAAGAAGATATTTAAATCAACTTAATGATCCTAGGAAGATTACCCCAAGTGACACTTGAGTCAAGTATTGAAGAAAGTCTGGCAACTGGCATGACATAGTTTAGGTCAGTGGATCTCAATCTGTGGGGCAAGACCCTTTTTGGGGTGGAATGACCCTGTTACAGGGGTCACCTAAGACCATCTGCATATCAGCTATTGACATTCCAGTTCATAACAGTAGCAAAATTGCAGTTATGAAGCAACAATGAAAACACTTTTATGATTGGGGGGTCACCACAACATGAGGAACTGTATGTGGACAGCTGTAGGAAAAAAACATAAAAGGTAGAGAGGACAGGCAATTTCAAGGAAATAAGACACAGTGGGGAGCCACTGAAGGGGGTCTATAGAGGGTGAGGTGACTGAAGTGAAAACATAAAACACCCCCTGTACTGAGATATTCTGGCTATACACACAAATGTTCTGTCGTCTTTGGAAACACAGGAAAAAAAAAAGGTTCCAAATCTGTTTATGTTTCAAACTGTCTTGTGAGAGGAAAAAGTTTCCCTCAAAGGGTTGTCATCAGGATTAAGTGTGAAGGCACCAGCAGAGAGCCTAGTCTAGTTTCTGACACTCATTAAGCATTTGACAAATTATTTTTAACTCCCGAAGCCTTTGGTTCTTCCTGTGCGGGTTGCCGCTCACAGTACACTAAATGTCATTTTTTTTCTGGGTTTACATTTTCTGATATTTTGTATTTGCATAGGGAAAAAATCCATTTTCTAAACACCCTTGATTTCTTCAGCGTTTCATTTGATGATAACACGGGCTGCAGCCACCTCCTTCTGTTGTGCTAACACCCTTGATTTCTTCAGGGTTTCATTTGATGATAACACGGGCTGCAGCCACCTCCTTCTGTTGTGCTAACACCCTTGATTTCTTCAGGGTTTCATTTGATGATAACACGGGCTGCAGCCACCTCCTTCTGTTGTGCTTGGAAGGCAGCAGGGCCCTGGCTGTCAGTGACATTTTTCCTCAGCAGAATGGCCCAGTATGGCTCCCATCAGATGGCAGAGCCAGAAGAACCCAGGAGAAGTTGGAGCTCATTTACATGACCTTCCTCCTGTACTCTCCAGTGAAAAGGATGCGGAAAAGGTCATCTGTAGGAAAATCCACAGAGGCAGAAAACTCCAGGGAGGTTGCAGAGGCCCTGAGGGCCAGTAATAAGGCCAGGCAGCGTGGCCGACCTCGGTACACGTTTGTTTTCTCATAATGGTATGTGAGAATCGCTTACTCTCCCTGTTAACTGATGAGGAAGACACACCTCGGTGACGTTAATTGACTTGTCCGTGATGCACAGAAAGGCTTTGCATCTGTGTCTTTCTCATCCCGGAGCTCAGTCTCCTCCTGGGAAGAAGAACAAAGCCTCAAGGAAGCTGGTCTGACTCTTTAACAACCTCTGTGTTCGGGGACCAGTTCTCCTCCCGTACGGCATTCTGAAGTTAGAGGAGATGATCACCACACTCCCTTCCACCCCTCACATGCCGCCTGTCACTTTGGGGAGCTCTGCTGGATGATTCGGGAAAGAAAGAAATGCATAGACTCTCTATTTGCCAGGAGCCAGATAGTATCTCTGACTCTATTTATATGTGAATTTGTACCCGGTGTTTGATTATGAAAATATCACTTTGATTCAATAATCATTAGTATTTTGTCATATTTTATTCTTCGGTACGTATTCTTTAATTCCCAAGTTCATTTTTTACATCAAGTAATAGACGCTCGGAAACTTCACCCCTGAAAATTTCATCATGAATCATAATAGACACTAATAAGCTGCATTTGCTATAAGCCACTGATGTCTCCCCTGGGCCCACATAGCAACGAAAGCAGAAAGCAAGCCTGGCATGGATGTCTTCATTTCTGTGCATTTTCTTTGTTTCAGATCAGACTCCTGCTTAACTCTGAACAGGTTGGGGACTTGTCAATCACCCAGGTGCATCCACTTAAAAACAGGCATGTTGTTCTATTGACACAGCAGATGCCCCTGAATCTACTGCTGTTTCAGCTACTGACTTGGGCTCCAATAATCACTGCACTACTGCTCAGGTTGAGGCCCGATGGGGACTGTCTCTGCCTTGTAGTTTTTAACTAAGTCTCCATTGTTCTATTTTACCCACAAAGACTCCAGAGTCAGATACTGGGGTGAAAACCTGCTAGCTCTGAGAGGCCAAGAAGCAATCAGCTGACCTTCCTCCTTAGCTGGAGACCCAGCAAGAGAATGTCCTTCCACTGCCCCAAACCAAAAAAGGCAAAGTCCCTTCCTACTGCTTCCTGTGTGTCTCTCTGTCTGCCTTCTGGAATCCTTCTGACTATGCTTACTTTCTGTCAACTAGTTGCTGGCTCCGCCTCCTGATCCAAGGTTTTAATTAATTAACACAAATTTGGGGGTTCACAGTGTGACCAGTCCCACAACACAGGTAACACCTACCTTGTGTCATTTCCTTTCAGTGCTGAAGGTGCCAAGAGTTATTGTTCTACCACAGGACAGTGGTGGCGCATGCTTTTAATCCCAGCACTCGGGGCAGAAGCAGGCAGATCTCTGTGAGTTCATTCAATGCCAGCCTGATATACAGAGCTGGTTCCAGGACATCCAAGGCTACACAGAAAAACCATGTCTTGAAAGACAAAAAACAAACAAGCAAAAATTAGCCATTGTTCTAAACCTACACAAGCATTAGATTACAAAGACTCCAAAGCCTTGCAAGACAGGACATCCCTACAAGTGAGGAGAATTTTCTCTGCTGGAGACAGAACCCTGGAGAAAAGATCATCTCACAGGAACCAAATTGTCCCTCCCAATCGAGGACAGTGAAGCACTGTCCACTTTGATGACCAAAACCAGAGATTACCAGATGCGTTTTAATCAACCTGTTTCATTTTACAGACCCTTTGCCCCTGCCATGAGTCTTCCTCATTAAATCTAAAGCTCATGTCAGTGTCTCACAGGTAGACAATCCCCTTATCTGTTCTTCTTCCTGATGTTTGTATGGATTATACATAGAAGACACCCTTAAGTCTTGGTTTTCCATCGTTAAACCACTGTTTCTCTCCCTTCCTTCCTTCCTTCCTTCCTTCCTTCCTTCCTTCCTTCCTTCCTTCCTTTCTTCTTTCCTTCCTTCCTTCCTTCCTTCCTTTCTTCCTTTCTTCTTTCCTTCCTTCCTTCCTTCCTTCCTTCCTCCCTTACTCCTTTCCTTTTTTCACATTTACGTGTGTTTTTAACAGTGCATGCCTGTCTTTTTGATATTACACCAAGGCCCAGCAGTTTGATACTGTTGCTAGTCTGTGAACAAGACAGCTCAGCTTGTATCACTTTGCTGTGGGCCTTTGGCTTTCATTTTTACCCTCTTGTTCTCTCAGACATCCGAGGTCTGAACTCCAGCTAAAGATTTCCAGATGGGCTGAGCAGGAAATGCCAGGTACAGCTGAGGCCTACAGGATGCCTCCTGCCAGCCCCACTTAGCCTTGGAGGAGATGAGGGCAGATGAGGACCCAGCTGCTTCTGTTCTGCTCACCACCCATTTGCAACCACAGCGCGGTGCCCTGCTTAGATGAGGGGAGGGCTGGGGTCTTGAAGTGGTCACTAGTAGGCACAGATGGGAAACATTTTCCTCTTAGGCTGTCTTCAAGGCAATTTAAGAAAAAGACAAAGACCCACAGAATTTCACTGATGTTCAGAAGTCCGAAAGGGAGGAAGGCTTATATTGCACGATGAAGCTGAAACTCCCATTTTCAAAACAAATGTTTCCGATTTCTCAGAATAGCATTCGGTACATGCTTATCAGTGCTCTCTCTGGGTGACTTTTTCATGCTGTTTTCCAAAGCCTACAGCACACAACTCCCCCACTTTCTTTTTCTGCAATGTTCCCTTGTACCCTCTAGGAGTTTAATGCTGCCTTTGGGCTTTGCTTTTGTTTTTTAGAGTTTTTCCTTTTTTATTAGGGAAGCATCATTTTATTACAGTGAAAGAAATTGATGTGTGATGAGAGTCTATAGCTTTCTCAGAATCACAGAGCTTGTAAACTATACTTGCAAAAGATTAAACAAGGCAATAAAAACAGCTGAGCTCCATCTGTGCTGCTCTTAAAGAGAACCTGTGTTAATACCGCCTCACTCTGCCTTGGATGTGAGTTCTCCAGGATTCACGTGCTAGATTTCAGGATGGCAGTGTTGAGGGACAGACTGATAGGAGACTGGGCTGGAGATGTGGCTCAGTGGTAGAGCTCTAGGGGTCATGTATTATGAAGGGGCTGTGGAAGACCTGCCTCCTTAGGGCGTGTCATCATGCAGTCTCCTGCTCTCATGTGATCTGCTGCTACTCTGGTGCCATCCACCATGAGGCCTTAGCAGAGCTGGTGCAACGAATACAGAATACAGTGGAAACATCCAGACCTGTGAGTTTAATATCCTTTGCTTCCTCAGTAAGTTACCCATCATCAGCCATTTCACTATAGACACAAACAACGGACTAATGGGACTTGTAATTGCTAACGCATCTTACACAGTCACTGTAATGGGTAGAGTTGTGTCCTGATCCCCTAATTCATGTGTGGAAATTCTAAACTTGCAGCACCTCAGATGTGACTGCATTGGGAGACGGGGCTGTTAAAGTGCAGATTAAATTAAAACCTGTACGTGGGCATATGGAGGCTGGAAGTCAGCCTTGGATGTAGCGAACACATTACCAAGTGAACTGACTGTTTACGCTCTTGATTGGCAGAAGAAAAAGAAGAAGAGGAGGAAGAAAAGAAAGAGAAGGAAGTAGTAGCTGTTTGGACAGCTAGTGAGCCCTTTCTACATTAGGTCAAAGTGATAGCACCGCATCAAGAGGCAGGAAACAGGAGGCTGCTGGTGCTCTGATTGGAACCTTCCAGCCTGCAGAACCATGAGAAATACATTCCTGTTCTTTGCATCTTCCTGTATACATTGTTATTTCGGTGAATGAAATAACTCAGTGGCAGTACTATTGCTGGAAGTTTGTCAGGTTTGGCCAAGTCAAGTTGACATGGAGCAGAGGTGTACTGGAGGAACAGAGAAGCCTGTGTTTAAGAGTGACAGGTTGCTACTCAGTACTAAGCAATGCCATCTCCATCCCAGCGCTGGCCAGCCTCTGACCTTGACTCCGTGGCAGGCAAACACACCCACCTAAGCTACTCCTAAACAAATGAACAAAGGCAAATTGTAGCAAACAGAAGGAAGCAGACTGGGGATGTTAAAACATCCTATTGCTTTTCTGCTAGTAACTTTTGCTCATGTAACAAAGATTATCTTCAAGGGAATCACAGACAGCTCAAATTTTAGGTAAGTAAGCAGAAACGTTATTAGCATTTTTCCAGACTCGAAAATGATTACAACTTGCTGAAGAGAGGAGTTTGATGGGTTACTAATGGGGAGCAAGTATTCGACAAACAACTCTAACTAAACCAAGTGGGCTATTTAAAGTGACATGTTTCCAGCAATTGTAAACTGAAAACAATGACAATGCATTTGGTTTACTATGTTGTTCTCTGAGGACTTTAATAAAATTTTCAAATATGTCTGAAACACGACAAGAGTGAGATGAGCACCAGATGGCTTACCCTTCATTAAAGAGTGTCTCACCTTATCAAGGACTCGGTGACACCAGGTGAGAGCAGAATTGCTCAGCACAGTAGAGTTAGACTCAGAGAAGCCTTCCTCAGATTTCAGTGTTAAAGGAATTCCACAAGATGCAGAACCAGTTCCCCTGGAAGGTCGGCTCTGGCTACAGTATAGGGAGTGCTGGGCAGAGCACAGTGGTATCTGCAATTTAAGATGCCTCTGAATGATTGGCTAGAGGTGGATCCAATGAGGAAATACAGACTTACAAATACAGGACAAGATGTTGGCTGACATGGATCCAGCTGCCCTGTGGTGTCATTCTGCCCAGGGGAGATGTTAAAGGCCACAAGGCCTGCTTCTGCTCTGACCTCCCAAGAAAGCCAGACCCCTCCTCTTCCTTATAAGACATCATGTTCTCACACAGAAGCCACGGAAAGCCGGTACCCCAAAATTATTGGCGGAATGAATTCCGGCAATAAACTTATATCATCAAATTGTTCTTTGTTCTAATTTACCCTTGCAGTTTTACTTTTAGGAGAGAGTCGAGGAATTAAAAGAAGACCTTGTTATTCCTTCCAGAATCCTATGTCTTCTGGTATTAAAACGCACTGAAAAAGAGGAATAGTGATACATTCCTGAAATTCTAGCACTGAAAGAGCTGGAGACTAGAGTATCAGTTTGAAACTAACCCAGGCTATGTGTGACTCTGGATTTAAAAAACAAAACAAAACACTGACACCAAATGTTCATAATTTTCATCTAGTAGGTCTTTCAAAACTTCAGAAAAAAACAATAAAACATAATTGCTACAATAATTTGATTTTCTATAATTTTGTCTCTATATAAACCTCTCCTAATGCTTTTGCTACAATTGTCATAAATGATCTTATGATCCTGGAATAATGAGAAGTTAAACTGAATTCAGAAAAATCATTAACAACGTATTTCAGAGGAATCAAAAATACTTTGAGTTCAACTAGAACCTAGATGCAAAATTTAATGTTAATTGTAACATGGCAATTGTTTACAAAGTAGTAAACTAGTTAACTAAAATTTAGACTTAGAAATTTCTATAGTCTGTATTGCCTATAACTATTCAAGTGATAGTCAATTTTAGGAGACTATTTTTATCTCTAGTTGTGTGCATCTGTATGATTGTGTGCGTGTGTGTCTACGTAAGAGCCAAATGAAGGCAGAGGAGGGTAGAGTTATAGGCAGATGGTTTAGTCTCAGTGCATCAGTAAAGACCAAGATGACTTCGAAAAATCAGAATATTTCAGACAAGTGTGCAAATTAGATGTTCTGTGCACTATGCTCCTATCCTCAGGTGGCCCGGCATTAAGGCTATATGAAAACATATCCCTGCCTCACCTCCTCTGTTGATGTCACTGGTGGAGTCCCAAAGGAGCGTTACTTACTAGCCATGCTGTCCAGTGTGTCCTGTTCATTTTCATAGCTGCTAGGACAGGGACCTGCAAGAAAAAGAAGCAGGGTTAGGAAGCAGCAACTCATGGGTAGGAGCTGACAGACATGAGTTCATGAAAACGAAGACTGGAATTGAGGCCATTAGCTCATGCTTTCTCTTAGTCACAGTGGCTTCCACCCTGGACCAACCTTCTTTCCTTGCCCATTGTTTTAGATCGTTTATCGCCCCAACTTACATAAGACTTCTCATTCTCTCCTCATTGCATCACAGCATCTTCTGCCACATTTCTACCGCTGTTTCAATATCCCTACTATAACATCTTGAATGAGGAACTTGATGAACCAGGATGTATTGTCAAGCCCTGCCATCTATGCCATAAGTGGGGTTCAGGCTGCAATAGGTCATCGTTGGGCTAAGACAGATGTAGCCCAGACATATGGGACTAGGCAGATGAGTAGTGAGTGTCTACTGTCTGTTTCTTTTAGTTGTTGGCTGTCCCTTAGCTATTGTTACCTTTCTAAAACTTACTCTTCTGGGTCCTGTGCTACTTTATTCTCACTTTCATACCGTTCTGATTGTGCTTTGCCCCATGGTTTTCAATGCCTCCGTCTTTTTCCAAGTCTCCTGTCTCCTTGTATACTTTCTTCATTTGCTAATCATAGACTTCTACACATCTGAATACAGCCATACACCAGGAATTCTCAGCCTAGGATGCCTGGAGCCTCTTCCCACTACAGCCAAAGGTGGAAGGGTCTTATAGGAAGAAAGCAAAAATCATATCTTTGCACTGTCATTGAATGCTAACTAAAAGACACCAGTTCCTTCTCTTAAACATCTGAGCAGTCTATAGTAGCAACACTCTCGGTTTGTCACCAGTAGAAGTCACAATAGTCTCTTGTTTTCAGATTGTTGTAAACTTCTTTAAACTTTTCCCCATTATTGCTTCAAACCTGTTGAGGCTATCTGATCTGGCAGTAGACCTTTTTCCTGAATGCAGTTAGAAGGAAGCACACACCTGTACCAATATGTGCTTTAAGATTTTGACAACTCTTTGTGACAGTAGCTCTTCCTTTGTAGTCTGATTTAAGTTTCTGATATGCCACTAAAAACATTTATTTTTGAGAAAGGATCCATTGACCTCATTATAGTGTTAAAGGGCCCTGTTTTTTTCCCATGAAATGCTAAGGATCTTGGCGATGATGTAGCATGATTTCTGGGGAGGGGGGGAGCAAGCCCAATGTGACAAGGCAGCAACTTTGACCCACTAGACTTGTTATCAAGCTTTACCTTCCTGCACTGTCTATAGATCAAAATCTAAGTAGCTTCAAGGCAACCCCTCCAGTTTGTTTTCAAATTCTGGGTCTCCGCTTTCCTCACTTGGTTTCTGAATTGAGAATATATTTTGTGGTGTATATAATCTCTAGAAATCATTTTTTTAAACCAAGGTGGAAAAAAGGAGTTATGGTCACAAAAGTCTTCAAATTGTCCTTGGAATGTTACAGATGAAGTATGAAATTGTTTGGGCTCTTGCCTTTGTGTAAAACGAAAGTCACTTGTGGAGGCTTAAGCAAGTCAGAGAATTTATGATATTGAGACAGGTGTGACATCACCCTCCAGTCTGTGATAGCAGAACAGGTTAAACCAGAAATGGATTGGCAAGCTTTCTCTGTAAAAGGCAAGCAGTGAGAGCATCAGACCGGGAGGACCATGGAGTCTTGCATTCCTCCATACAATACGTAGAATGTGAGCCAATGAAACTGTATGTGTAAAATGGACAGATGGCCAATTTAGCAGGTTGCAGGTTGAAGATCCCTGACCCACAGCAAGACCAGGGCTGTTTTCTGAAGCATCTGTCACTCTCCATCTGCTTTACTCTCCCCTTCTTACTGGCTTGCTCCTTTAGCTTTTCTGGCTCTTATGAACCAGACAACCAGACATGGCTTCAGTTACAGCTAGCATTGCAAACATCACCCAAAGGCTTATGCACTGAAGACTTGGCTTCCAGGCTGGGACGCTCTCCGAGGACACGATGGGACTTTCAGGAGGTGAGGCCTAAAGGAGAGAAGCTAAGTCAAGATAGGCATGACCTTGGAGGCAGGCTGAGTTCCAGCCCCCTTTCTCTTCCTTTGCTTTCTGGTGCCAGAAGTGAGTGGCCTCACGTTCTTGGGCTTTGGTCTTCCAGGTGGTGGGATAACAGGCCTGTGCTACCACACCTGCTGACCTTTCTTTCCGCTTGTTAAGTTATCCCAGGTGATTTGTCCAGCAACAGGATGATGAGTAACACAACTCATCAAAGTTGTGAGTTCTATGTCACAGCTTCATGTTGCCTGACTGCCCCAGTCCCAATTCCAGGACGTGCTGACTGAGGAAATGACGTAGGCATTTTTTAAAAATCCATTTTGCTCAGAATGGTTCTGAGTTCATTTGTTAAGCTTTTTAATCTCCATTGCTACATTAATTCCACACAGCAGGAAATGGTGCCTTTTGTAAAAAAAACCCATGCTTATGCAGGAAATATGTATCTACTTCTATGAAAACTGTTTCATGTATTGTTAAGCACACATTCCCATGTTTGTGATAACAAAGTTAAAGAACATTTGCAGAGTGTTATTAACTACAGCAGAATTTATATTAAGTTTTAGACATTAAATTGAAAGAGTCCCATCAGCATTGTATGCTCTTTTACTCCACTAAATTTAAAAAGGCCTATGACAAAAGTGCATTAAAATAAGCACCAGAAGGGCGGGTGGGATGATTTAGTGGGTGAAGACACTTTCTACTGATCCTTGATTATGTGGTAGAAGGAGAGACTCCCACAATTGTCCTCTGACCTCCACAAGCCTGTTGTGCTGAATGGATGTGCACACACACAAAATAAATAAAGTGTAAATAAGACTGTGTAAAACATTAGCAACAAGAAAGGGTAGAAACTCAAACTATCGATAAGCTTCAAAATAAAAGTCCTTTAAGGAACTATTTGTGCCAGAAACTTGGAAACGAGGGAGACTTTTATCACACGATTTCCTTCTCTCTAGAATTAATTAGCAGCATTCCCAGAACTCTGCTAAAGTCCCCTGTTGAAAGGAAGAAAGTAAATACAGTACTGCGAGGAAAACTGGTTCACTTCCACAAAACTGAGCGGCTTGGGCATTAGCCAAGTAAAAACAACCTGCTGGAGAACCATTCGTAACCTATTAGTCACTACAGGAAAGCTTTCCCTTTAATGGTATCCTCCTGGGATACCGCGCTGGAATGCACAGCGATTTTGAAAAAGGCACAGGTTTGGCTCAACTGTAAATATCAGTAGATGCACAGAGGCAAAGCCATTGTGCAGGGTAGGGGGTGGGGTGGGTGGCTTCTGATTCCCAGTGTCGATAGGGGGGTTTTCATTTCTCTCGGTACTTTTTTTTTTCTACTATAGTTACAGTTTTGCTAAGAAAAATAAAATACCGGTCATGTTCTCATCTGGTTTCCAGTTTTCCAGTGTCTTTAGAATAAAGATGAAAGCCTCTTTCATTTACCTAAGAGATTCCCTTTGCAAATTGGGCGTGGTGATACTTGCTTGTAATCCCACTACTAGGGAGGTGGATGAAGGAGGGTAGTGAGTTCTGGGCTAGCCTGGGCTACACAATAAAACCATTTTCATGAGAAAAAATATGTTTCCACAGTTTCCAAGACTGCAGAAAATAAAACAAAAACAAGCTCAAGTCACTGCCACCACCTATCAGAACCCTGTATCAGCCCAGGTCTCTAGAGGAAGGCAGGTTTTAAACAGTGGATCTCAGAGGCACTGAAGTCGTTTCTGGGTGAGGATGCTCCACCCATCTCCACCGCATACAAAGCCCAAGCTTGAACTCTGAACCCGACCCTTTGTCTAGTTTGCTTTTCCCTTGTACTCTGGCGCCTCTGGGTTCTTCCTAAACCACCTATGTGTAGATTAATTAACAAGAAGCCGGCGTCGGCTGCAGGGAGTGCAGTGCCTGGTCACGCTGGTAGTTGCGGAAACTACAACTCCCATTAGGCCCCGCGGCCTCCCGGCCCCACCCCGCCTCCCGCTCAGCCCGCGGCGAAGGCGCTGGGCTTTCATCCGCGGAGCGGCGGGAGCTAGACGTGTCGCTGCGGTGCTCTCGGAGGATCCCCGAGTCGGCAGCAGCCTCAGCCGCCTTCAGCTTCTGCGTCCGCCCCAGCGGCGTTTCCCGGTGCAGCGAGAGGATGGTGGTCCGCGTGTTCGTCGCCTCGTCCTCGGGCTTCGTGGCGGTGAGCGGGGCGGGATCGCGGCAGACGCGCGGCGCGTGCGCCCGTGGGAGCCGCGCGGGCAGGTGACCGCCAGGCTCGGACCCGGTGGATGCGCTGGGGTCGCGCTCGTGCGCTGCCAGCTAGCGAGGGGCACCGGGGAGCCAGTCCCCTGCCGCAGCTGCCAGCACCAGGGGCCCCTTTCCTGAGTTTATAGGTACCCGACTTGGGACACTGCCGGCTTGTGTTTTTTTTTTTTTTTTTTTTTTTTATGGGAGTTTAGACTACTTTGATTTGCTGACCTGGCGTCTGAAGGAAACACGTTTAAAGGAATTGCTCTCCTCTCTCTCGTCCCCAGCAAGTCCATTTCTTTAGTTCTACACCTGAGCGAAGAGAACAGTAAAGCTCTCTTGTCCTGTTAGTTCGGAGTAATTTGTTTTCCTTGTCGCTTTTTAGCCTAGGGTGTTATAAATACTTTTACATTTGTAAGGAAACCTGGGTGCGTGTGTCCTTTGCCCGCTCCCTCAGTGGTGTGGTAAATATCAGTTTAGGAATCTATAAATTGTGTTTTTTTGTTTTTAGCCATTGTGTTCGTAGAATGTTTTTTATTAAAGAAATTAAAGAGCCAGAAATGTTATACGTTAAGGAAAAATGCACATGTATGCTGGACAGTCCACTGACTGCGACGCACGTAGTGCTGGTGTTCGACGTGATTATTAAGGCTTGATTTCCTTAGTTAAGAGTCAGACTACGGCTCTAAAAGTCTGTTTTCTGAGATACTTAATCAGATATAGAAGAAAGTGCAAGAATTATTGTTTAAAGTTTGGTCTGGCTGGTTGCCTGCCCAGTAGGCAGATTGATTGTCCCAGAATATAAATGGGTGGGGTAGAGATGGAATAAAATACTGTTAAAAAATTCCTGTAAACCACCGAAACTTATAATTTAAAATCCCCTCCTTTTACTACAAGGATCCCCCATTTTCACTAGACAGAAAAATGCTAGCTTACCTGTATGTGCAGGCTATATGTTGTGGTTCTCAAACTCCTCACATTTCCAATTATTTTTTTTCCCATTGCTTAGTCATAGGTGACTTTGACAGATTTTTTTTTCTGGGTTAAAGCTGAGCCTTGTGAACATGTACTGTTTCCCAGGTAGATTTATTTAAATGCATTCCTTACTGTAGAGCTTTTGGCCTTACCATGAACTTACCTGCTTCAGTAATTATGTCAAAAGCACTTTATCAGGTGTGGAAGGGAGGTGCTGTAGTGTGGATCTTCGCTTGTGTTATCCAGACCGGATGTGCATCCTGTATCCTGGCTTCATCAGTTCCATTAACACATATGTATTTATTGCCTGCCTACTGTGTGACTTCAGTTTTGGATTTAATGTTTTGTACATGGAGCGAAATTGAGGAAAGGAGTTTTAGTGCCCTTACTAGTGTAGTGGGGACCAGGGGTGCCCGGGCTCTGCCCGAGTTCCTCTCCTGTGCCATGAAGGGTGTTGAGGCACTCACAAACTGTACTGCACTTTAAAAATGCCCAGTAAATGTGGGAATGCTGTAACAGCTTATTTCATTATCAGCGTACTGGCTAACTTCAAAGGGGAGTTCTCCCACTTTGGTTTTTTTAGTTTTTGTTTTTACTGTGTCTCAGATTCCCGTGGTCTGATGTTTCATTTGGTTGGGAGGTCACATCCAGTCACCACACAGACACAGCCTGTAAACACCGATTACTCATTTCAGTCTGCTGTTTGAAAACTTATTCTTTTCAGGTCTCAGAAATTCTTACCACAAAGTCTCCTCATTTTGTAATATTGTCTCCTACTTCACGTGCAGTTGCTCTTTGATGTTGGTGTTTTAGGCTATATAAAGTTGATGCTTAGCTGCAAGGATGTTGATTTCTTGGCCATGATGAAGGAGTGTAGGGGAACTCTTGGCCGGGGAGGCTAGTGGTACTTACAACATTAAGCTATGCTAAGATTTTGTGGGAATGCTGTATTTTCTTTCTGGCAGTGTCGGGTTAACTGTTGGCAGCGTTTTCTTCTGTATCCGTCTGTGACCAGCAAATGTATGGAAGAACAGTGTCATTCCCGAGTCAGTTTGATTTTAGCCCTTGTGTATTAAACCACAAGGAAGGAATGGGACCAGAGTAGGTCCAGTTGGCAGGACATTTAAGCATACTGTTTAGAAAAAAATCCTCCTCTCTCCTGGTTCGCTTGAGTGGTGGAGCTTCGGCAGTACGGATGACTAACACGAAGGGGTGGGTGTCTGCTCATCATCCCCAGCTCCGGGTGAGACCTGCTGTTTACTAGGAAATAAAAATTATACCGTGTTATACCATCCATGCTGCTGTTAGAGTGAGGCTATTTTATTCATAGAAAGGTCATTTAAAATTTTAATTTATTATGCCTGTGTACCCAACAGCAGAGGCCTAGATAACCTTTGTCTGGGAAATATGTTAATGTGACTTTAATTTTAAAAGGTTTTTGTTCATTGATATATTTAACAGAATTTGCTTTGGTCTGCCTGTACCCTGCCCAACTCTGTCCTTGGTTTTACAGAGAAGCCTGGGAGAACACAGGGTGTGGTCTCTTCTTGAGGTGAGGACATCTGTCTGCTAGGAAAGGTAGTAAAACCTTCAGTAATAGCTTGCAGCTCAAGGACATGCCTCCTGCGGGAACACTTACCAGGCAGAAATTCCACAGGCAGGGGAGGGACTCCATGCCGGATGTAAGATATGGAAGGAAAATGCTAGAATCATAAAATATGTATGTAGGGGCAGCCAGCAGGGAGAGGAGTGTGGGAAAGCGTTCCTGAGCCCATTTTTAAAGGCTGGATGTGGAGGTGCTTGGGGAGAAGGGTGAGCAGCAGATGACCCTGTGAACCTCTTGGGGTGACAAGGTGAACTCTTCAAGTCCCCAAAGGAACCCTGTGAATTCAGACTCCACCGTGCTCTGCATCTTGGAGATGTTTTCAGCATCTGTGGCTTGTCTGCTGCTCTGGGCCTTTTGTCCTTCAGGGAGCAGGGTGCCATCCTTCAAGGGTGGACTTCAGGTCTGAGATTTTCCCTTCCTCCTTGCCTTGGACTCAAATATCAAAAAGGGAATAAAGTCTTCATTGAGGCGAGAGCTGTGCTTATGCTTGGATATATCCTTTATCATTCATTAAAGTTTTGTGGCTCAGTTGAGCGTCAGAGGGGAACCTAAAAGTCTGTAAGTGAAGTCCAAGCACACAGTTTCACGCAGAAGGGAACTTGGGCATAGAGGTGAAGTGATTTGACCTAATGTCATCCAGGTAGTCAGTAATTGGAAGCCATATTCCAGCATCGATTGATTGATGTATGTGCTTATTTTAAACATGGAAAACTAAGGATCAGGCTGTTTCTCCCTCCTATGTGTCTGTTTGTATGTGTGTGTTGTATGTATTTGTATGTACATGCATGCTGCATGTGTATGTATGTGTGCGCTATATGGATATGTGTGTATGTGCACACGGGCCTGCAGACGCCAGAGGAGGACATCAGATGTCCTGCTCTGTCATTCTTCACCTCATTTCTTTGGATTGGGGTCTTTCATTGACCTTGGAGTTAGGCTGGTGACCAGAAACCCTTCTATCTCTGCTGCTCATAGCACTGGGATTACAGGTGTATGCAAGGCTTTCCCTGGTAGGTATTGAAATTCAAACCCAGGTTGTCATGCTTGTGCAGCAAACACTCTTTCCCACTGACACTAACAACCCTAGTACTGAGTTAGGTGGTGTTAGGTGCCACATGCTAGGATGGTCAGGAAAACAGACTTGACCCAAATCATTGCTATCTTCATCAAGCTTGGAGGCTTCGCCTGCAAATCATGCAGTCAAGGAGGACTGATGGTGGCTTGTTGCCAGATACTTGTTTACATTGTGTAAAGATATGTTACTGTGATCGGTTTAATAAGAAGCTAAATGACCAGTAGCTAGGCAGGAGGTATAGGCAGGACTTCTGGACAGAGAGAGCTCTGGGAAGACGAAAGAGGGAGTCACCAGCCAGATGCAGAGGAAGCAAGGCATGCAGGAGGAGAGGTAAAAGCCATGAGCCACGTGGCAGCACGTAGATTAATATAACAGGTTAATTTAAGTTATAAAAGCTAGTTAGAAACAAGCCTAAGCTAAGGCCAAGCGTTACAGTGGCCTGAGGGATGCGTTCATGAACCAGGGTGAAATGGGCTAGATAACACTGGTTTTACACATCTCTGAATGTTGGATGGCCACCATCTGGGAACAAAGGAGATGCCGACATGGGAAGGCAAGCTGGGAAGAGGAGAGCTCGCTGTGGCCTGCTCAGTGTATTAAGGTGAGGGTGGGTGCGGAAGGGGAAGACAGACACTCTATGCTCAGAGATGCATTGCTCTTTGCAGCTGTGCAGTGTGTCCTTGCTGCTGTGCACAACTGGTTATTATTTTAGGCATGCAATTACCAGTTCAAGCTGTTGCTTCCCTGTACTCAGTGACGCCGTTCTGTAAGAAAGCCTTAGGAAAGAGTTTGAAAGCAGCAAAGTCAGGAGGTGATCATAGGCAGTAACAGGACTCTGTGCTAAGTCGCTTGTCGCTTGACTCTGACAGGAGCGAGCAGGTGCCTGGCCTCTTGGGGATCCTAACTTATCTTCACTGACCCCTGGCAGGAGAGTTATTGCCATGTCACAGATGAAGAGGCTGAAGAGAACTGACTCAAACCAGATCATGTTCAGCTGGTGCTCTGACCTGGAGTCAAGCCCTAGATGACAGCTGACTCCAAAGCTTCTAGAGTCTCTCTTTGGTGTCTGTCCTCAGGTACTGTGTATGGTATGTGGGATGCTGGCATCCTGTAGTTTGGAGGTTTATCTGCTCAAAGGGCTGCCCCATGGGCCAGTGGCTCCCTGGCCAGAGACAGTTCTGCAGGGCACTGGAGGAAGAGTGAGTGAGGAGCAGGCTTCAGGATGAGGTTGTGCAAGAAGTGATCGGGAGAGGCAGGAATGACTTGAGGGCCCAAGGGCATGGAGGTAAGTAAAGAC